AAAAAAAAAAAAGAAAAATATGAATCGAGTAGAAATTAAAAACGAATTTAGTAGCAGTAAATCGAATTGCTGACATTAAAAGTGAAAATGTCCTGAGACCGTCTAATTGTTGGACGATTATACAGGATGTCTTTGACACGTTCTCCTTTCGCATCCCATCGTCGAGATAAACGAATACAAACGTCAGAGCGAGTTTGCACGATTGCAAATTCAGATTCAGAAGTTTACAGTTTAATGTTCCTCCTACGTTCGGTTACCTCGAACGTTACGATGTGTGTTGTATGTCGCTAACCGATATCGATCATTAACGAAATTAAGTAAGTCTGCTACTGTAATCGTTACCGAATTAAAGCGGTCAACAATGTCATGCGGTATATCGATGATTTTCACGGAGAGAAAATCAAAAAAAAAAAAAAAAAGAAAAAAAAATAGAAGAAGAGAAAAAGATAAAGAGATAACAGCGTCTCGTAGTATAGTTATAAGGCTCACCGATTTCTGTAGGTTGCCCAATTGTACCAGCGGTTCCAGCGGCTACACGAGCAAAGGCGATCAGACCCTTCTTTCTTTTTTCAGCCGACTCTTCTTCTCGTTATTTTTCATATTTGTCGCGAGTCAGAGTTAACTCGAGTGTTCCATGCTAATTCTCGTCCATGGCTAACAGAGAGAGAGAGGACGTGAACAGAGGATTTCGATTGCTCGAAACGTCAGGTCTGATCGTCATTGTCGTAAGGAGTGATCTGTGTTTCCAGGAAAGAGCCAGATCTCGAATTGGAGGGTCTCCTGAAGAGGCATTACACGACCGTGGAGTTTTTTCAGGGAACTATGATGAACGCTGTGGACCTGGAGCGTGTCAAGGTATCCCCGAACCTATGACCTAAAACAACTATCACACGAAAAACGTCAAAACCATCCGAATATCCAATCTCTCTATATCTCTCTCCTTTGCGTGGCCGCTCGTGCTTCTTATTTCCTTGTAGTTCCTTTTTTTTAGGTTTTTTGCGCGGTTACTTACTCGACCACATTCGATCTTACGTCGATCGATCGACATATATTATAGATGTCTGACATGGATGTCTATACATGCGTGGAAGTGTACATAAATCGTAGCTTTAGCCAGGTTTCTGTCCACGTCTCTCTTCTTCTCTGTCCTCCTCGATCTACTTATTAGCCTTACTAGCTGTCAGGTTTATATGTATCTTCTTCTCTCTGTCTCTTTCAAATTTACATGTCCAGCCTTCTCTCATCCCGTCCAGCTTACGGTCGTTTAGCATCGACACTTGCGATCGAGGTAGTTTCGATTTAGTTTCATTCTTCGTGTACCGGATGCAAATAACGGAGCAGTCGTCAAATCTTGAAGAAAGAAAAGAAAAGAAAAAAA